GACGATTATAGAAAGTCTTGAGAGTTTGAGGAAATAGGTTCCTAGTATATTGAGGTGACGATTAGGATCTTTAATTTATAAGAATTATTGTTTATAAGTTAATTCTTTGATTTTGTCGAATTCCAAAGGGGAATAGAATTAAGTTAGAAATAGATTGATTTGAGTTTTGTCGGGTTGATTCTTGTTGAATTTCATTGAATAAATTATTGTTTGATTTTTACTAAATACTGTATATAGTTTATTACTAGAAGTTTAATTAAATATTTGATTTTTGTTATTGACAAACTTTGTCATTATTTAATTCGGTGCACGCTTAAAGTCCAGGCCTGGCACACTAACGCGAATCCGCGTAAAGTACCCGTTAGGGAACGGCTATTTCCAGCACACAGTAGTGTCGATAATCGTTGGAAAAGTCGGAAAAATAAAATAGTACTTTACATAACCATCAAACAATGGATATTAAACACCTAAACTTGAATTACAATGTATTTGGAGTTGAAAATGCTAGTTTATATGTATATTTGAAAATCTGCATGAGGTCTGGCCCCAATTACACCAAACTCCAGATTATCCATGCTAACTAGTGCATGGGTGTGCATAGAAAAAAAGAGAACATAGATAATCTAAATACAGCCATGTAAACTATAAAAAAACTATTCAGAGGTTTTAAATGAATTATGGTGTGTGTATATATATATAGCCATTCATAAGCTGAAATGTATATTTAGTCGATAAACATAAAATGTAGATTCATTCTATTTTAAAACAATATTGTGTAAAAATTTAAATTTTAAATTCCTGTGTATAATTCTTACATTTTTCTAAATTACTATATTTTAATTTTAGGACTTGAAAGATAGTTTTTGAAATTTGCTGTTTATAGTGCAACTTTGCCTACTGCAACACATTCTGGGGCTAATGACTTACCTCACTTCTGTCCCTTAGAATTGACAGTTGAGAGAAGGAAGAAAAGCTGAATGTTGTTTATGATACTTTGTCATTTTATAGTAATTCTAATATTTTGACAGTGCATACACGAATAATCTGTGCATGTGCAATTGGAAGTTTGGTGTAGTTTAGATTTTCGACACTTCATTATATTACAGCTGTCCCTTGATAGTCCAACGTTTTGTAATCCGACATGCTCAGCAGTCCGACGCACCTCCTGTCAAGGTACCCATCCCCGTTATGTGTCTGCTTGCACAGAAGCATGTTGCAACGTAAATCTCCCCACCCAATTCTTATACGATGACACACATTTCGTGTGTTTTCCATGAGCAGTTCTGTTCAAACAGTTGGAGAAGGGAATATTGTAGGCTATTGCTAGCAAAACAATGCCAAATATGTAATCACTTTCGGTAATCAGGACACTTTTGGTAATCCGACACCCCTTTGGTCCCATACTTGTCGGATTATCAAGGGACAGCTGTATTTTATTCTCACTCTCATATAATTAATATATTGTATGATGTAATTTCAAATGCTTTGTTTCTTAGATTCTGAAAATAAAGATTACTTCCAGATAAAGTTATATACTTACCACTTAATATTGAGAATACAGCTTGAAATGTTTCTTTTGTACAATTGAAGGCAATATAACTTAATTGCTAAAATTAAAGAAAAATTATTTTTATTTATAATACAAAATCAATATAATTTGTAAAATATTTTATTTTCTATTATTAAAATATTAATGTTTTTTAAGATACAGTAATACCTCGACTTACGCGAACCCGGAGTTACGCGATTTTCAAATTTCATCGATTCATCTTTTGTTTGATTGCCACGCAATTCTTGATTACTCATTCCCCCCACACTATTGTTCGGCTTACACGTCTGGACATTTCGCGTGGAATCGACACATAGCTACAGAAATAAATAATACAAAATAAATTGTATTTGTTATATCTACGGAGACTCAAGAGACTGTGTGGTGATTTCTTGTAACAATGAATGAATCAAAAGACAAGATAAGATTAACGAGAACATTTATTAGCTTATGTGAGGGTTGAAAGGGGGTGGGAAAGTTTATAGATAATATAATAGGTTCAAAAAGAAACTAAAAATTTTAGAGAAAATAATATTTCAAACTTCACCAAGATTTTATCTACACAAAACAGAGGAAACAGCAGAATTTTGAAAGGAAGTTGATTTTCTTTCCCAGGCTAACTCAGGATGAGTCAAGTTTTCCACACGGTCCGGAGGAGGATATAAAAGGGCAGTTTTCGCGCCATTCAAGGCAGTCCGTCAAAGGAAGTTTGCCATATGAAGTTGACATACAGAACGGCAGTCGTCCATTAGAGAAAGAACTGGTCATATGTACAATACAATACTTCCGAAGCAGTCCATAAAGAAGAGACAATTGCCATACTAAGGAGAATGCGTAAGAAGTTTAGACATACGATATAACGCAGTCCAATAAAAGGGAAAGGCCATACAAAGAAACCAGCTATTGATAAGAAACAAACTCCACAAACTCTTACAAGAATATGAAATACAGAATTAAGTAAGGAAGAGAATACTCAAAGAAGAAAGCATACAAGAGGAAATAGGTTAACGACCTCCAGGTGAAAATAATATTAGAAATAGATTGATGTGAGCTCTCTCTCTCGAAGCATATATTTGGATCATTCATTTAGTTTTATTTTTAATTAAGTTTAATTTGTATTTTTATTTACTTTCTTTATTAAATAGTTAATCATTTATTATTGTTAAGGAAATGTCTTATCATTGTTTACATACCTCCACATGCGTGTTAATCTGCGTGATATAAATGCAATTAACTGGTGTCAACAGGAATCCTGACATTGGATAAAGACTTCGCCGTATATATCCTATTTAATTATTAAAAGCCCTCCCGGTCAAATTCTTGACGTAAAATCAGATCATGATCCGAAACTTTAGAGAACTAGTTTCACCAACTAGTGCCGATTAAGTGGTACTAACTATCCTAGTGGAGTAGCACCCCCGGCTGATCTCACACTTACATACATCCGACTTGGATTTTACACAAATTGAAAAATTATACCCCAACTTATGCAACTTATCGCTTGGTCCCACCTATTGTGTAAGTTTGGGGTATTACTGTATATATATATTACAAGGATATATACAGTGTATATATAAAGTGATTAATGATCTCTGGAATAAATTGGCAATAGTATAGCCAGAAATTTAACAAGGGATGCAAATAAAATATACAAATATTAATACCAAATGTTATTTAAATAACATTTGACATTTTTACATAATGAATTACAAATTATGGCTACTGCAGTTCAGAAAGCAGGTTATTCATTTACTAGGTTCAAATATATCAATGCTCAAGTACAAAGATCATTCTTCCTACCCATAACATTATATATTGTAAGTGAGAAACTAAAATTTGTGCACCCTTCCATTTCATATTTAGGGTCTGTCACATTGCATGTATTTAGAATTTTTTTTTAAAATATGGACTTATCAATCCAATTAAATCACTTTTATCATTATGTAAAATTCTTTATAATGACAGAGATAGGTTCCAACATTAGAAAAATTCTGTACTTACATGGTCCCTTTACAAAAACCAAATACAGATACAAAACTATTTTACCTAGGAGCCACAACCAGAAGGTACTCAAATTGTGTAATTGATCATCACGAGGACATCTTAAATCACAGATGCTTTATAGAGCTCTCCAGATGTGTAATAGAACATGACTTTGCAGCTTTATGAGCCAAAACCTCTCTTCTCATACAACACATGGAATGCAGATGTTTTCATCTGGGATCCTTTATACATATCAACATTGGGACCCTGTAATAAACCTACACTTGAGCTCCTAGAGCTACGGTTCTCAATCTTTAAAGTCTTAAGAGCTTAATACAATACTTTGCTGACATCATATGTTACTGTAAAAATTTTGAAATAAAAAATATGTAATTATTTTTGTTCATTTAAGGGTCTAAAACCTGCTTATCTCTTATTACATCATTGTATGATAAAATTTCTCTATTTATATTCTCCTGTTCTTTTACATTCTATCTTAAAATTGTAATTTAAATCTGTATTCTTTATTGGAATATGCTCATGTACCATTTAAATTATAACTGTTTTCTAAATACATTCTATATTGCCTGTACGAGCCCTTAATACAATGTCAAAAGTATTAGCATAGCTGTTCTTTGTTAATATTAAAGTACTATAACATCAAAGGATAGTGTTTTTAATGTTTGTATATTTAAATAAAACTGTAATGCAAAATTATACAAAATTATCTGTTATATATATTATTGACAAGACTATGTCTTGTTTATAAAATCGTACTGCTGTTTTTTATTACCAGCATAGAGGTATGAAGGAGTATATGTCGAGAGTTGATATTTGGCACAGAGTATTAGGTGCCCAAATCATTTGCACACAAAAAAATCCAGACTCGCAGGTAGTCAGGGGACCAAGAACCATGTCAAAATAAAATCCAAAATGGCAACCCTCTTCTACAAACAGGCAAAACAGCCACCTCACCCCACCCCACCGAAGTCAGGTGGGGGAGAGTACCACCCACAGTCATTCTAAGAAGTGAACTCTGACCTTGTACACACAGTTTTTTCTATGTTAAATAAAATTTGTAATCTAATTTTGTAAATTTGGGAGTGCTTCAAATATGACATTAAAACAGGTTGTTGTTACAAGTAGGTTTTTTAACATTATCTAGTATAGTAAATTCGTGGGACCGATAAAAATTTGACGTTATATTAGAGTTGTCGTTACATCCGATGACATTATAATCGGGTTAAACTGTATATTATTTGTGCAAAATAAAAAAAATAATTTCAGATGATACAATAGTCACGATTATTTTTTTCAAGAACGGGAAATTTTCATTAAGCATTGACAAAAATTCAACCTGGGCCAACACGCAAAGGAAAGAAATTTCGAAATTAGATAGTTTAATTTCATTGAAAATACATCATGGATGACCTTGTGGTTATGGCCAGCAGTTTGAATGATCACACCCAAAAGCAGCAATACCAAAGAAGATTGGAGAATGAGAATGAGACCTGCCTTGAGCGTCAAAGCGATTCTGTTTAGTAGTGAGTCTCCAAGACATAGTCTTGTTCCAAATATGGTTTTGCCATCTTACGAGGGCTGTTCGGAAAGTTCGCGGCCTTGCCTATATGCAGCGCTGCGATCAATTTAATTTTTGGCGGGAATAATTCAGCCATCTTTGCTAAAGATACGATACCAATTTCCGCTTGATTTGTCAGAAAGTTTTGCCACGACAGCTTAGCAGATAGTCAGTGTGCACATGCTTTGTCAAAAATGGAGAAGACAGAGACTCGTGCAGTCATAAAATACCTGACGAAAAAAGGGTTGACCTCATCTCAAATCAAAGCTGACATGGATGAAGTTTTAGGAGAGTCTNAAAAAAACAGAAAGATGATTTCAATTGAAACAAAGCAAGAAATCATCAGGAGTGAAAGTTGACAAAAACTTCCTTGTCGAATGGGGAGAAGTTCAGAAGTTTACCAACACTCATTATCCAAACAGAGCTGAAGCCAACAGGATCAATGATCTCTACAATGACACCCTTGCCCCGTCATTTCCGACAGGTGTTGAAGAAGAGAGAGAAACAGACCACCTTGGACATGTTTTTTAAGAAGCCAGCAGGCAAAAAACAAAGGATGGAACAAGAGAAGTTGACCCTGCAAGCTCCGGTAGCCTCTCCTGAATCTGACTCTGATTAAAAAACAATAAAAAGCTGCTGCAATGTGTAAAAAGTCTGTATCTGTATGAATGTGTGAAAAAAGTGTTCCTCCACCTCCTCACAACATATGACTATCCGGCATAATTGGTGACTGCTCCATTTTCAATTTTTTATGGTACGATTATTTTATGCTGCGAAACGAATTATATGTTTTAACATGTATTTCTATGGGAAAATGCGTTTCTTGTAACGAACTTTTCACTTAACGGACGTGCACATAAAACGGATTAAGTACGTTATACGAGGCACCACCGTAAATATAATTTTTATGGCCATTAAATAATAAATGGTTTCTGGTATGTCCACTGCTCATTTAAACTCAATGGTTTGTGCAATATCTGCTATTGGTCTAGATTTGACCAATCCTGTCATTACATGAGTCGACGATGACATTTTACCGTATTTTACGAGTTTCTTTTAGCGTGTTTATATTATTTACAATTTTTTTGCATTATATAGGAATCTGCATTATATGAACCAGTTTTATAGCGGGGTCTACTGTATTCCCATACAAATGAATAAATGCATTTTTATTGTGTTTGTTGTTTTGCAGTGCTATTTAACAATTTAACTATTTAACTATGCTCTATAAGAATTTTGGAACTCAAAGTTTTCTTTGCAAAATCATTTTTGTGTCCTTTAAATGTGTACAAAAATTTTGGTGTCAGTTGGTTTATTGGTTGGTGCAACAGAGCCCTATGAATAGAACAACTTTATTTGTGACGTAGTAAACACTAGTATTGTGTTTTATTCCAAAGACACATGGCAAAACACAATACTTGCCTTGTGTCTTTGTCATGTGTAATTTGCCATGTGTCTTTGGAATAAAACACAATACTAGTGTTTACTATGCCACAAATGTAAAACAGGACACGGTTTCAAAAAGAAAATCAACAAAAGAACAGCTTTAATTATGATCACCCAATACACACACACACACATATGCACAGGTTGCCCTTTCTAATCAACACATGAAAATATCTCAATCTTCATCACACAAAAAAAATGTTTAGACAAAATTCGTACTGTATTAATGGGACCACAAGATGACACTATTAGTTTCCTCATAAAGTGTACTGTATTGGTGAAAACAGGGTGAACTCCATTTCTTATAGTATATTATGATTCTACATCAGAAACAAAAACTTTTATCAAAAACATTTTTTCAAAAGATACACTTATCAGAAGTCATGACATTTGAAGTTTTATGTAGCTGCCAGGCTGTGCATGTTTGAATCTGTGGATATTTGTGAAATCCATTGAAAATGAAGAAAAAAATGCTTTAAAAATGAGGAAACTATTATTATTTGGAGGAAACATTCTTTTTCTTCAAATAATAAAATGATATAAATTGTGTGACACAGTATATTGAAGCCATCAAGCTTATGATAAAGAGAGAAGTTCAATAAACTATTAGTATTTAGTTTCACCCAGTGGTGTGCAGTGACATTTGATGATAGGGAAGCTGTGTTGGCCCTGGATAGAATCATTGGAAGCATATATTTTGGTGTGTAGCATCCACCAGCTAAACCATATGAGATTGGTGCTCTTTAAAGCACATGTGCGAATGTGTGTAATCTGACTGTTTTACACAATTCAGATATTTTCACCGTGGAAGATATCCCGTATTCGACAATACAGCACTTCCATTGGGAATATGCATATACGAATTTATATTCGAATATACAATACCAATCTTATCATTTTTTTCACATGTATTATTTCTAATAAGATACATAATGTGGTTATAATAAAATATTAATTTTAAGTAATTCAAAGTATGTTAAAATATGAAAATAATCACACAAGGGAAGTGGCACGCCACTGGTTTCACCAAATAATAATAGTTTCTTGATTTTTTAAAGCATTTTTTCCTTTATTCAATGGACTTCACAAATATCCAGATTCACACATGCATGGTCATAACTGCATAAAACTTCAATGTTTATAACTTCTGATAAGTGCATTCTTTGAAAAAATGTTTTAGATAATAATTTTGGTAATTTGCAGTTTTTAAGGTCTCTGTTACAATCTGAAATTGAAGCTCCTGCTTTATTATAACAATTACATTTGCAAGAACCTGTATCTACTAGGAACTATACTAGATTTAAAATTCCTTTGTATAAATCTAATATTGCTCAGAATATATCAGTTCATAAACTGGCAACACTTTATAATCACTTTGGATGGCAACTAGATTTGTTTAGTTCTAAGCAACAGTTTTGATAGTCACTGGTCAAGGTATTTGATATTGAACATTATAATTAATGTGGAAATTGTTCTTATATATTCAATATATTTTAAATTTTTCAATTCTTATGTTTTGTTGTGTATTAAACTCAATTCAAATGTTTTGTATGTAAGTATTTAATTGTTATGTTTTGTTTCATTTCAATTTTTATGTATTATTATTCATATTCTTTGTATGTTAAACAGACATGTAATTGGGGCTTCCTGTAAGTCAATCTGGTAAATAAAAAGAAAAAGTTTGTTTAAGGCAAAATAATCTGCTGGATTAAATCAGGCTATAATATGGCTATTATTTTGTTTATTTTTGATGCAGAATCATAATATGCAATAAAAAATGAAGGTTCCCATTTAAGAAAATGAAGTTGATCCTGTTTCATCAATAGCAGTGCCATGTATGGAGAATAGTGCCAGCTTGTGGCCCCCTTGGTAGAGTACAAATTTTATCTGAACATAGGATGCAGATTTTTTAAGAAATTTTCATATATTGATTAAAGTGGGAAAACCTGTATATATATTTTTATTCAGTTTATTTAAATGACATTATATTGTTCTTGACAAAAATTGTCTGACCCATTTATTCCATGACACACACACACAATGATTTTACTTACAATTTTTGTATTATAAAGCATTGATTGCATATCTTCAAACACAATATCAGTTTTTTTTTCTGAAGTGGAATAGTTTGTACTTAAAGAATTGTGTGTTACAAACATACAAATAACAGCAATTCTGAAATAGAAAACAATTTTAGATTTAATAATAATCTAATTAAAAATTTTACAACAGTTTCATAAAAACTTAAAGTCAATTATAAATTATAATTAAAACAATAATGATATAAATTAATACAGCTAACAATATTTAAACTTACTTATGCCTAATATAAACTCTAACTGGAATCTGTATTTGTAATGCATTGTAATGTCAGATATGATCACAATACAAGATAGCAAAATTGAAATACGGTTACTGTTCCTAATGATGTTTTCATGAATTAAAAGAAAATGTACCATGAACTTTAATTTTGCCATTTAGTAAAACATACCAGCATCATTTTCATATTTAAAAATGAGTACTAAATTTAGTAATTTTCATAATATTCTGTAATTAAACTCCAAATTAGTATAAAAAACATTTATGTTTGTGTGAGAAAAGGCTTCATTCTAGCCTGTGCCTAAGGTGGCAAAAAGGTTAAATGAAGTCCTGCACAAAGATGAATATCAGTTAATTATTTTGAATCAACTTATGAAGTTAAAAATACAGCACAACAAATTTTTTAATTGTAAAGATATTTTCAAATGTTTTTGACAAAATACCTTTCTAATCATCTTTATTTACTAGGAAGTAAATAGATTTTTAATTTAAAAAAATGTTGTTGTATACAGGTATAATATTTTTTAACACTATAAACCAATTCAAGATAATCAATTGAGAAGTTTTTTTTATCTTTGTTTAGTCTCTTTCTGAAAGAATTTTTTAATATTTTTTATCATCTGCCTCATCATCTGAAAAATATACTGTATATAACATCAGTTACTGATTACAATATAAGAAATAATACTTACAATAATAAAACTATTAATATTAATAGGAAAAGTATTAAAATCTTCCTCCATAGTGACGTTGTTCTTGTTTGATCCTGAACTCTTTTACCACCACAATTGTTACAACAACAACGACAGCAGAAAACTATCAATCCAGTTATCCACATTACAACAATATATAATAATCCAATTACAACACAAGCAATAAGTGCATAGTGAAGTTTTAGTAACTGAAATAGATAGTAATCAATGAGATTTTTTTAAATTGAAAATTTTAAACTACACTATTTCCTAAAATAAACATTCGCGTAATATTCTTGTAACAATTGCCCATCTAACTGCACCCGTTAGCCTAAATATCTTTTATAATTCGTGGTGTTCAATATTATCAAATAAGCAACTACTGTTACGGTATTTTCCAATATCAAAATTGAAAAAAAATGCAGCAGCGAGTTGTTTCACTTTCCCGGAAACATTTAAAACTGCGTGTGGCGCCATCTGTTACGATATTTTATTTTAAAATTTTTTTAATTATTATAAAATGACAAAAAGCTTAATTTTGAAGATAGGGAATTTTGAGGGAATTTACTCGTTTTAGCATTTACAATTTTTTAAAATAAAAATCCGTCCCTACCCTCAAAGTTAAGCTTTTTGTCATTTTATAATAATTAAAAATTTTTAAAAATAAAATATCGTAACAGATGGCACCACATGCAGTTTTAAATGTTGCCGGTAAAGTGAAACAACTCGTTGCTGGATTTTTATACATTTGCCACGATATTCCGATTTAGCTAGTTTTGTGTCTATTGGAATCATGTTTTCCTCCCCTCTTTTAATGTCAATGTTTTTTACTCCCATAAATGTCCACCAAAAATGAAAAAAAAAAACATCGACTACTCGTCTAGTGGATAATTATTACAAGAAATATACTAATTTAAGAATATATTTTTTCAAGAATTTTACCTCATATATTGATTGAGGAACAACTAATGTTTTCGGACGAAGATAATATGACATTATTAAATCTATAAAAAAAAAAACCAAAATGTTAAAATTATTATTTGTCATTTTAACATTATAAATGTTATTACCATAATATTGTAATTAATACATTAAAATTACATTTATATATAATTTAAATCCAGAATTTTTCTATTTGAACAAAATTTGTTATAAGAATTTATATAGTGCATTTAGTAAGATATATAGTTATCTCCATAGAAAATAATTCATTAATGTAATAAAATATAAGAATTTTAGTATAGACAACAAATAAAAAATATATTCAAAACAATCAGCTGCATATATAATTATAATTACACGAAAATATTATTATTATTATAAATTTACTGAGAATAAGTTCATGCATAATTGTTTTATTTTCTGTAGAAAAATTTAAGAAGACATATACTATACATCATTACATATTATATGTATATACAGTATAATAAATTACTAAAAATTTATAATAATTTTTTTTAAATATTTATAACTGAAAACTACTTTTAATGGAATATAATTTACAAAAAGTAAGTTCCTGTATATGTAAAGAGAATATACAGTAATTCTGTAAACAATGCTCTAATAAAGCAGTCTTTTCATAGTTATTTTCTGAAGGTGTTATTTTCGATTATTCATAGTTTTTAAAAATCATTAAATATGTATAAAACTCAACTTGAATAATTTTTTGCATATTAGTTATTCGATTATATTAAATTATTCAAGAATTAGTGTAAATGCCCATATATCTTAAGAATAATAATTAATTTAAAAATTTCTATATAATTTATTAAATAAAAATGCTATCCAAAATAAAATTCAAAAGGAAAAATAGACGTTTCCAGCAATGGCGTAACAAACATAACTGGCGCTCGGGACACGACACTTTTTAGTGCCCCCTCCCCAAATCTTGTTTGTCTTGGAGACCATTTGGCGCCCGGGGCATGATAGACCCCGTGCCCCCCTTCTCTAGGCTAGTGGTTTTGAGCTAAAAAATAATAATGTCGTATTATAATAAAGGAAAAGTAAACAGAAAAACGTCACAACTGATTAAAATAAATCATTTTGCAGTGCAATATGTTACAAAATAACACGAAGAAGAAAATCGAATTTGCATAATAAATGTTCATATGGCGAAAAATGATCGAGATAAATTAAGCATAACACAAAAAAGAAACATAGTCTACTAAATTTCTGAGGGAAAATATTTCTTTTTCAAAGTTATGAGAATGAAACAATGTGAAGAATTTTAGAAAAACAGTTTTTTATTATAGTCAAATCCCGTTTATCCTACTAGATAAAACGGGACTGGACTCAATCCGAATTAACAAAAATCTGAAAATCAAAACCGAAATTAGTGGAGTATTGAAACGAAAATCTGAAATTCTACACTGAAAATACTTTTTAATGATTGAAAATAAATGCTTTACTGATTCTAAAACGATAGAAATATTTATTTAAATAAGAACATAAAAATTTCGCTACATATAAACATTATGTATTTTTATCCTTGCGTAAGTATGACCTCTTTAAATAAAAATAATCGAAGGAGCGAGATGAACACAGATTAATATCACGAATAATGTTATAACGATAGTTAGTAAATAGTTGTCATTTTTAAATTTTAAATTTTACACATTTTGCCGTGTTTGTGAGATCCAAACACGGCAAAATGTGTAAAATTTTAAAAAGACAACTGTTCCATCCAATTCGGATGAAAGAGGTTTGATTGTTTTTACTCGTATTATGTCAGTAGAACTAAAAGTGTGAACATATTGAATTTGTTCGATCCTTTTTGAGAATGTTCATTTAACAAGTATAGTAACACGGAAGATTCGGGGAAGATCAAATTAAGAATTACAAAAGGAAAATTAGAAGTAATTGCAAAATATGGTGAAGACGTGTCAATTTAAGGCAAATCAAAGAATGTTATTGCACGGAATTCGAAAATTTCCGGACGAACCCCAGGAATTTTTCGGAGAGGTGGTTGTCCCGGATACATTGGGCCACGTCCCTCCCCACCCGGTCGCCGGATTGTGGACAGGGCCAAACCCACGGTGGGATTGATTAAACGGATCCTCTCAGTGTTTGCGAGCAGAAAGTGTTTTAAAAAAGGTGCGTATCATCGATACTTTAAACGCGACACGTCTAATTCATATTTCAGGCATTTTTATCTGCGTAGGTATGGGCATAAATTGCAATTTTAAACGCACGTAAATCCGACCCTTACAAATAAGTAAAGCAAAGTCGCCAACTACGAATGCAGAATTAACACTTTCCAGTGAACAAAACATTTTCATCTTTATTGGCAATCGACTTCATATATGAGAATGGAGTCGATTGCCAATAGAGACGAAAATATAACGAAACGGATAGAATTAGTCATTATAAAATAAATTATAAAGCATACTCGGACGAAAATTAAATTATTCTTTAAAGTATAATAAATAACATCTCGCAAATGAGCAAAATAACAAAAGAAAAAACTTTATTTTAAATATTTATAACTGAAAACTACTTTTAATGGAATATAATTTACAAAAAGTAAGTTCCTGTATATGTAAAGAGAATATACAGTAATTCTGTAAACAATGCTCTAATAAAGCAGTCTTTTCATAGTTATTTTCTGAAGGTGTTATTTTCGATTATTCATAGTTTTTAAAAATCATTAAATATGTATAAAACTCAACTTGAATAATTTTTTGCATATTAGTTATTCGATTATATTAAATTATTCAAGAATTAGTGTAAATGCCCATATATCTTAAGAATAATAATTAATTTAAAAATTTCTATATAATTTATTAAATAAAAATGCTATCCAAAATAAAATTCAAAAGGAAAAATAGACGTTTCCAGCAATGGCGTAATGAACATAACTGGCGCTCGGGACACGACACTTTTTAGTGCCCCCTCCCCCAAATCTTGTTTGTCTTGGAGACCATTTGGCGCCCGGGGCATGATAGACCCCGTGCCCCCCTTCTCTAGGCTAGTGGTTTTGAGCTAAAAAATAATAATGTCGTATTATAATAAAGGAAAAGTAAACAGAAAAACGTCACAACTGATTAAAATAAATCATTTTGCAGTGCAATATGTTACAAAATAACACGAAGAAGAAAATCGAATTTGCATAATAAATGTTCANAGGAGATTACATTGAAAAATAAAAAAAGTTTTAACATTATTTTGTTTGTTTTTCTATGTGAGGCCGCGAACTTTCCGAACAGCCCTCGTACTTGTTAAGTATAAATTGTTTATGGCAATTAAATGTATTGTTTAAATAATAACCATATGAAACTTTAGAACAAACTGAAGCCAAGAAAAAATTAGATATTAAAAGCAATTGTTCCTTTGCACTCCATGTCTGCCAATGTTCTGCAGAATGACACAGAGGAACATTTTATATGTAGCAACCCATGTTTCCTGACAGGTTTAAGAGTTAAACTACTGTACAGACAAGTCATAAATAACAGGTAATACAATAATGAAAGGGAAATAATGACATGATACATGCATTTATTGTTACACTTTCGGACAGCTCACAGAAGGTGTTCAAAGTATTCATCCTGAACCACAAGACATCCCATTTCTTGAAGGTGGTTGATACAGTTAAGCAAACATTGTGTGGTGTGGGTGTTGTCTGTGCAGAAACCACTATTGGTATATGCAGAAACAATGCCCATTTCTCCTAGCCTCCCCATAATACATTATCATGTCATGAGTTCAGCTGAATCATAGACATCTATCCTTAATTATTCACTTAAAAAAAACTGTATAATATAATGAAAGAAACAGAACACCTATGGCAGCACATAATATGTTTCCAACAGAGGTAATGTAGCTGCTAAACGATACATCATTGAACATAAAATGTTCATCAATCTATGTCCCTTGATGCATCATTATAAAATGTTCTCTGTGAGATCTACTGTGTTAAAGCTTGTCAGAGATCCTGAATCATCCTGTACATACAGGGTAAATTAAAGTTGTCCTATTCAGAGAACTCTAAAGCATCAACCAATAAGTTGATTGACACCAAAATTTGTGTACATGATATTCAAATGATGTAAAGAAAGGATTTTGCAAAGAAAAATTTTAGTTCCAAAATTGTCCACTACAGTGTAAATGGCACTGAAAGAAAACAAATGTGATATGCATAGCTACATGGAATGCATCCAAGACTTTTGCGCCAACATTTCATTGACCACTTAATAGTTAGTTGTTGGTTTCTGACTTCCTAGCCACCATATTCTCCAGATATTAATCCATGTGATTTCTGGCTGTGGAGCCTTTTAAACAATATGGTTATCATGGTCAGTGCTGTAATTAGCCATTCCTGTGCCCTGTGCAAGAATTTGCAATTAGGCACCTTAATTAATTACATTTGGAAAAATAATAAAATAAATACTTGCATTTTGGGCCCCCATCCAAGTTAGCTCTGTGCGGGTGCTCCTGTTGCACCTGCCTTGTTACAGCACTGATCATGGTAATGTTGCAACATTGGAAGGCTTAAAGGACACTATTGCATTGCATGTTCAAAGAATCATTAGGGAACAGTTGCAGTCAGTTGTTGAACACACTGTGCATCATCATCAGATTTTACTTAAACTATGGGAAATATGTTGAACATCATTCCCTGCATTGCTAACCAATCTGTACAGCACACACCAATATACAGTTGACCTCCCTATAACACGGTAGATATATTCCGTTTTTTATGAAATTCATGTTGTACAAGTCCTTAAATACATGAGCCAATCACAGCCTGGCACATATGCAGTTTACGGACTATGGCTGTTTGAAAGGTTTTCTTCCATAAAATTAATCGATTCTAGACTAATTTGACTCAACATTTCCAAAGCATATATAATTTTTTGGGGATAATCCATATAAACTATGCTATAAACAAAAAATTGTAGGATTACTTACTGAATGTGCACTGTTCGACGATGCCATTGCTTAAGCTTGTTTTCGTTGTGGAGTGGTGCATCAAACGGCGGGCGCATGTTTCCTGATAAGTTATTTTTCTGCAAAAAATTTGCTGAACTTTGGAGACATCATTAATATACAGTGGTGCCTCGTATAACGTACACCTCGAATAACGGATGCTGTGAACAACAGACTTTCTGTTTGGCTGTTATGTGACTCGAGCAACGGACTGGCTGCGAACAACGGACTTTCTGCGAATAAGTACGAATGATGTTTCCACTCTTTTGCCATTGCCAATGACAATCTGCTATTTTTATAATATATTAGTATTATTAGAATATATTATTAGTATATCTGAAGTACAGAGCTCCCGTTGGAATTCGGCTTGCTCCCTTGTTTATTACGTACAGTACATCACCTCAGTACACGGTATTTACATTTATTCAAATGTTGTGCAAATCAGGACTTCTAAAAAAAACAGAAAGATGATTTCAATTGAAACAAAGCAAGAAATCATCAGGAGTGAAAGTTGACAAAAACTTCCTTGTCGAATGGGGAGAAGTTCAGAAGTTTATCAACACTCATTATCCAAACAGAGCTGAAGCCAACAGGATCAATGATCTCTACAATGACACCCTTGCCCCGTCATTTCCGACAGGTGTTGAAGAAGAGAGAGAAACAGACCACCTTGGACATGTTTTTTAAGAAGCCAGCAGGCAAAAAACAAAGGATGGAACAAGAGAAGTTGACCCTGCAAGCTCCGGTAGCCTCTCCTGAATCTGACTCTGATTAAAAAACAATAAAAAGCTGCTGCAATGTGTAAAAAGTCTGTATCTGTATGAATGTGTGAAAAAAGTGTTCCTCCACCTCCTCACAACATATGACTATCCGGCATAATTGGTGACTGCTCCATTTTCAATTTTTTATGGTACGATTATTTTATGCTGCGAAACGAATTATATGTTTTAACATGTATTTCTATGGGAAAATGCGTTTCTTGTAACGAACTTTTCACTTAACGGACGTGCACATAAAACGGATTAAGTACGTTATACGAGGCACCACCGTAAATATAATTTTTATGGCCATTAAATAATAAATGGTTTCTGGTATGTCCACTGCTCATTTAAACTCAATGGTTTGTGCAATATCTGCTATTGGTCTAGATTTGACCAATCCTGTCATTACATGAGTCGACGATGACATTTTACCGTATTTTACGAGTTTCTTTTAGCGTGTTTATATTATTTACAATTTTTTTGCATTATATAGGAATCTGCATTATATGAACCAGTTTTATAGCGGGGTCTACTGTATTCCCATACAAATGAATAAATGCATTTTTATTGTGTTTGTTGTTTTGCAGTGCTATTTAACAATTTAACTATTTAACTATGCTCTATAAGAATTTTGGAACTCAAAGTTTTCTTTGCAAAATCATTTTTGTGTCCTTTAAATGTGTACAAAAATTTTGGTGTCAGTTGGTTTATTGGTTGGTGCAACAGAGCCCTATGAATAGAACAACTTTATTTGTGACGTAGTAAACACTAGTATTGTGTTTTATTCCAAAGACACATGGCAAAACACAATACTTGCCTTGTGTCTTTGTCATGTGTAATTTGCCATGTGTCTTTGGAATAAAACACAATACTAGTGTTTACTATGCCACAAATGTAAAACAGGACACGGTTTCAAAAAGAAAATCAACAAAAGAACAGCTTTAATTATGATCACCCAATACACACACACACACATATGCACAGGTTGCCCTTTCTAATCAACACATGAAAATATCTCAATCTTCATCACACAAAAAAAATGTTTAGACAAAATTCGTACTGTATTAATGGGACCACAAGATGACACTATTAGTTTCCTCATAAAGTGTACTGTATTGGTGAAAACAGGGTGAACTCCATTTCTTATAGTATATTATGATTCTACATCAGAAACAAAAACTTTTATCAAAAACATTTTTTCAAAAGATACACTTATCAGAAGTCATGACATTTGAAGTTTTATGTAGCTGCCAGGCTGTGCATGTTTGAATCTGTGGATATTTGTGAAATCCATTGAAAATGAAGAAAAAAATGCTTTAAAAATGAGGAAACTATTATTATTTGGAGGAAACATTCTTTTTCTTCAAATAATAAAATGATATAAATTGTGTGACACAGTATATTGAAGCCATCAAGCTTATGATAAAGAGAGAAGTTCAATAAACTATTAGTATTTAGTTTCACCCAGTGGTGTGCAGTGACATTTGATGATAGGGAAGCTGTGTTGGCCCTGGATAGAATCATTGGAAGCATATATTTTGGTGTGTAGCATCCACCAGCTAAACCATATGAGATTGGTGCTCTTTAAAGCACATGTGCGAATGTGTGTAATCTGACTGTTTTACACAATTCAGATATTTTCACCGTGGAAGATATCCCGTATTCGACAATACAGCACTTCCATTGGGAATATGCATATACGAATTTATATTCGAATATACAATACCAATCTTATCATTTTTTTCACATGTATTATTTCTAATAAGATACATAATGTGGTTATAATAAAATATTAATTTTAAGTAATTCAAAGTATGTTAAAATATGAAAATAATCACACAAGGGAAGTGGCACGCCACTGGTTTCACCAAATAATAATAGTTTCTTGATTTTTTAAAGCATTTTTTCCTTTATTCAATGGACTTCACAAATATCCAGATTCACACATGCATGGTCATAACTGCATAAAACTTCAATGTTTATAACTTCTGATAAGTGCATTCTTTGAAAAAATGTTTTAGATAATAATTTTGGTAATTTGCAGTTTTTAAGGTCTCTGTTACAATCTGAAATTGAAGCTCCTGCTTTATTATAACAATTACATTTGCAAGAACCTGTATCTACTAGGAACTATACTAGATTTAAAATTCCTTTGTATAAATCTAATATTGCTCAGAATATATCAGTTCATAAACTGGCAACACTTTATAATCACTTTGGATGGCAACTAGATTTGTTTAGTTCTAAGCAACAGTTTTGATAGTCACTGGTCAAGGTATTTGATATTGAACATTATAATTAATGTGGAAATTGTTCTTATATATTCAATATATTTTAAATTTTTCAATTCTTATGTTTTGTTGTGTATTAAACTCAATTCAAATGTTTTGTATGTAAGTATTTAATTGTTATGTTTTGTTTCATTTCAATTTTTATGTATTATTATTCATATTCTTTGTATGTTAAACAGACATGTAATTGGGGCTTCCTGTAAGTCAATCTGGTAAATAAAAAGAAAAAGTTTGTTTAAGGCAAAATAATCTGCTGGATTAAATCAGGCTATAATATGGCTATTATTTTGTTTATTTTTGATGCAGAATCATAATATGCAATAAAAAATGAAGGTTCCCATTTAAGAAAATGAAGTTGATCCTGTTTCATCAATAGCAGTGCCATGTATGGAGAATAGTGCCAGCTTGTGGCCCCCTTGGTAGAGTACAAATTTTATCTGAACATAGGATGCAGATTTTTTAAGAAATTTTCATATATTGATTAAAGTGGGAAAACCTGTATATATATTTTTATTCAGTTTATTTAAATGACATTATATTGTTCTTGACAAAAATTGTCTGACCCATTTATTCCATGACACACACACACAATGATTTTACTTACAATTTTTGTATTATAAAGCATTGATTGCATATCTTCAAACACAATATCAGTTTTTTTTTCTGAAGTGGAATAGTTTGTACTTAAAGAATTGTGTGTTACAAACATACAAATAACAGCAATTCTGAAATAGAAAACAATTTTAGATTTAATAATAATCTAATTAAAAATTTTACAACAGTTTCATAAAAACTTAAAGTCAATTATAAATTATAATTAAAACAATAATGATATAAATTAATACAGCTAACAATATTTAAACTTACTTATGCCTAATATAAACTCTAACTGGAATCTGTATTTGTAATGCATTGTAATGTCAGATATGATCACAATACAAGATAGCAAAATTGAAATACGGTTACTGTTCCTAATGATGTTTTCATGAATTAAAAGAAAATGTACCATGAACTTTAATTTTGCCATTTAGTAAAACATACCAGCATCATTTTCATATTTAAAAATGAGTACTAAATTTAGTAATTTTCATAATATTCTGTAATTAAACTCCAAATTAGTATAAAAAACATTTATGTTTGTGTGAGAAAAGGCTTCATTCTAGCCTGTGCCTAAGGTGGCAAAAAGGTTAAATGAAGTCCTGCACAAAGATGAATATCAGTTAATTATTTTGAATCAACTTATGAAGTTAAAAATACAGCACAACAAATTTTTTAATTGTAAAGATATTTTCAAATGTTTTTGACAAAATACCTTTCTAATCATCTTTATTTACTAGGAAGTAAATAGATTTTTAATTTAAAAAAATGTTGTTGTATACAGGTATAATATTTTTTAACACTATAAACCAATTCAAGATAATCAATTGAGAAGTTTTTTTTATCTTTGTTTAGTCTCTTTCTGAAAGAATTTTTTAATATTTTTTATCATCTGCCTCATCATCTGAAAAATATACTGTATATAACATCAGTTACTGATTACAATATAAGAAATAATACTTACAATAATAAAACTATTAATATTAATAGGAAAAGTATTAAAATCTTCCTCCATAGTGACGTTGTTCTTGTTTGATCCTGAACTCTTTTACCACCACAATTGTTACAACAACAACGACAGCAGAAAACTATCAATCCAGTTATCCACATTACAACAATATATAATAATCCAATTACAACACAAGCAATAAGTGCATAGTGAAGTTTTAGTAACTGAAATAGATAGTAATCAATGAGATTTTTTTAAATTGAAAATTTTAAACTACACTATTTCCTAAAATAAACATTCGCGTAATATTCTTGTAACAATTGCCCATCTAACTGCACCCGTTAGCCTAAATATCTTTTATAATTCGTGGTGTTCAATATTATCAAATAAGCAACTACTGTTACGGTATTTTCCAATATCAAAATTGAAAAAAAATGCAGCAGCGAGTTGTTTCACTTTCCCGGAAACATTTAAAACTGCGTGTGGCGCCATCTGTTACGATATTTTATTTTAAAATTTTTTTAATTATTATAAAATGACAAAAAGCTTAATTTTGAAGATAGGGAATTTTGAGGGAATTTACTCGTTTTAGCATTTACAATTTTTTAAAATAAAAATCCGTCCCTACCCTCAAAGTTAAGCTTTTTGTCATTTTATAATAATTAAAAATTTTTAAAAATAAAATATCGTAACAGATGGCACCACATGCAGTTTTAAATGTTGCCGGTAAAGTGAAACAACTCGTTGCTGGATTTTTATACATTTGCCACGATATTCCGATTTAGCTAGTTTTGTGTCTATTGGAATCATGTTTTCCTCCCCTCTTTTAATGTCAATGTTTTTTACTCCCATAAATGTCCACCAAAAATGAAAAAAAAAAACATCGACTACTCGTCTAGTGGATAATTATTACAAGAAATATACTAATTTAAGAATATATTTTTTCAAGAATTTTACCTCATATATTGATTGAGGAACAACTAATGTTTTCGGACGAAGATAATATGACATTATTAAATCTATAAAAAAAAAAACCAAAATGTTAAAATTATTATTTGTCATTTTAACATTATAAATGTTATTACCATAATATTGTAATTAATACATTAAAATTACATTTATATATAATTTAAATCCAGAATTTTTCTATTTGAACAAAATTTGTTATAAGAATTTATATAGTGCATTTAGTAAGATATATAGTTATCTCCATAGAAAATAATTCATTAATGTAATAAAATATAAGAATTTTAGTATAGACAACAAATAAAAAATATATTCAAAACAATCAGCTGCATATATAATTATAATTACACGAAAATATTATTATTATTATAAATTTACTGAGAATAAGTTCATGCATAATTGTTTTATTTTCTGTAGAAAAATTTAAGAAGACATATACTATACATCATTACATATTATATGTATATACAGTATAATAAATTACTAAAAATTTATAATAATTTTTTTTAAATATTTATAACTGAAAACTACTTTTAATGGAATATAATTTACAAAAAGTAAGTTCCTGTATATGTAAAGAGAATATACAGTAATTCTGTAAACAATGCTCTAATAAAGCAGTCTTTTCATAGTTATTTTCTGAAGGTGTTATTTTCGATTATTCATAGTTTTTAAAAATCATTAAATATGTATAAAACTCAACTTGAATAATTTTTTGCATATTAGTTATTCGATTATATTAAATTATTCAAGAATTAGTGTAAATGCCCATATATCTTAAGAATAATAATTAATTTAAAAATTTCTATATAATTTATTAAATAAAAATGCTATCCAAAATAAAATTCAAAAGGAAAAATAGACGTTTCCAGCAATGGCGTAACAAACATAACTGGCGCTCGGGACACGACACTTTTTAGTGCCCCCTCCCCAAATCTTGTTTGTCTTGGAGACCATTTGGCGCCCGGGGCATGATAGACCCCGTGCCCCCCTTCTCTAGGCTAGTGGTTTTGAGCTAAAAAATAATAATGTCGTATTATAATAAAGGAAAAGTAAACAGAAAAACGTCACAACTGATTAAAATAAATCATTTTGCAGTGCAATATGTTACAAAATAACACGAAGAAGAAAATCGAATTTGCATAATAAATGTTCATATGGCGAAAAATGATCGAGATAAATTAAGCATAACACAAAAAAGAAACATAGTCTACTAAATTTCTGAGGGAAAATATTTCTTTTTCAAAGTTATGAGAATGAAACAATGTGAAGAATTTTAGAAAAACAGTTTTTTATTATAGTCAAATCCCGTTTATCCTACTAGATAAAACGGGACTGGACTCAATCCGAATTAACAAAAATCTGAAAATCAAAACCGAAATTAGTGGAGTATTGAAACGAAAATCTGAAATTCTACACTGAAAATACTTTTTAATGATTGAAAATAAATGCTTTACTGATTCTAAAACGATAGAAATATTTATTTAAATAAGAACATAAAAATTTCGCTACATATAAACATTATGTATTTTTATCCTTGCGTAAGTATGACCTCTTTAAATAAAAATAATCGAAGGAGCGAGATGAACACAGATTAATATCACGAATAATGTTATAACGATAGTTAGTAAATAGTTGTCATTTTTAAATTTTAAATTTTACACATTTTGCCGTGTTTGTGAGATCCAAACACGGCAAAATGTGTAAAATTTTAAAAAGACAACTGTTCCATCCAATTCGGATGAAAGAGGTTTGATTGTTTCTACTCGTATTATGTCAGTAGAACTAAAAGTGTGAACATATTGAATTTGTTCGATCCTTTTTGAGAATGTTCATTTAACAAGTATAGTAACACGGAAGATTCGGGGAAGATCAAATTAAGAATTACAAAAGGAAAATTAGAAGTAATTGCAAAATATGGTGAAGACGTGTCAATTTAAGGCAAATCAAAGAATGTTATTGCACGGAATTCGAAAATTTCCGGACGAACCCCAGGAATTTTTCGGAGAGGTGGTTGTCCCGGATACATTGGGCCACGTCCCTCCCCACCCGGTCGCCGGATTGTGGACAGGGCCAAACCCACGGTGGGATTGATTAAACGGATCCTCTCAGTGTTTGCGAGCAGAAAGTGTTTTAAAAAAGGTGCGTATCATCGATACTTTAAACGCGACACGTCTAATTCATATTTCAGGCATTTTTATCTGCGTAGGTATGGGCATAAATTGCAATTTTAAACGCACGTAAATCCGACCCTTACAAATAAGTAAAGCAAAGTCGCCAACTACGAATGCAGAATTAACACTTTCCAGTGAACAAAACATTTTCATCTTTATTGGCAATCGACTTCATATATGAGAATGGAGTCGATTGCCAATAGAGACGAAAATATAACGAAACGGATAGAATTAGTCATTATAAAATAAATTATAAAGCATACTCGGACGAAAATTAAATTATTCTTTAAAGTATAATAAATAACATCTCGCAAATGAGCAAAATAACAAAAGAAAAAACTTTATTTTAAATATTTACCGTCACTAAAATGTTAATCTAAAATTCTTATTTAATTAATTAACTATCCATTTCTGTTCTNCTCCGGTAGCCTCTCCTGAATCTGACTCTGATTAAAAAACAATAAAAAGCTGCTGCAATGTGTAAAAAGTCTGTATCTGTATGAATGTGTGAAAAAAGTGTTCCTCCACCTCCTCACAACATATGACTATCCGGCATAATTGGTGACTGCTCCATTTTCAATTTTTTATGGTACGATTATTTTATGCTGCGAAACGAATTATATGTTTTAACATGTATTTCTATGGGAAAATGCGTTTCTTGTAACAAACTTTTCACTTAACGGACGTGCACATAAAACGGATTAAGTACGTTATACGAGGCACCACCGTAAATATAATTTTTATGGCCATTAAATAATAAATGGTTTCTGGTATGTCCACTGCTCATTTAAACTCAATGGTTTGTGCAATATCTGCTATTGGTCTAGATTTGACCAATCCTGTCATTACATGAGTCGACGATGACATTTTACCGTATTTTACGAGTTTCTTTTAGCGTGTTTATATTATTTACAATTTTTTTGCATTATATAGGAATCTGCATTATATGAACCAGTTTTATAGCGGGGTCTACTGTATTCCCATACAAATGAATAAATGCATTTTTATTGTGTTTGTTGTTTTGCAGTGCTATTTAACAATTTAACTATTTAACTATGCTCTATAAGAATTTTGGAACTCAAAGTTTTCTTTGCAAAATCATTTTTGTGTCCTTTAAATGTGTACAAAAATTTTGGTGTCAGTTGGTTTATTGGTTGGTGCAACAGAGCCCTATGAATAGAACAACTTTATTTGTGACGTAGTAAACACTAGTATTGTGTTTTATTCCAAAGACACATGGCAAAACACAATACTTGCCTTGTGTCTTTGTCATGTGTAATTTGCCATGTGTCTTTGGAATAAAACACAATACTAGTGTTTACTATGCCACAAATGTAAAACAGGACACGGTTTCAAAAAGAAAATCAACAAAAGAACAGCTTTAATTATGATCACCCAATACACACACACACACATATGCACAGGTTGCCCTTTCTAATCAACACATGAAAATATCTCAATCTTCATCACACAAAAAAAATGTTTAGACAAAATTCGTACTGTATTAATGGGACCACAAGATGACACTATTAGTTTCCTCATAAAGTGTACTGTATTGGTGAAAACAGGGTGAACTCCATTTCTTATAGTATATTATGATTCTACATCAGAAACAAAAACTTTTATCAAAAACATTTTTTCAAAAGATACACTTATCAGAAGTCATGACATTTGAAGTTTTATGTAGCTGCCAGGCTGTGCATGTTTGAATCTGTGGATATTTGTGAAATCCATTGAAAATGAAGAAAAAAATGCTTTAAAAATGAGGAAACTATTATTATTTGGAGGAAACATTCTTTTTCTTCAAATAATAAAATGATATAAATTGTGTGACACAGTATATTGAAGCCATCAAGCTTATGATAAAGAGAGAAGTTCAATAAACTATTAGTATTTAGTTTCACCCAGTGGTGTGCAGTGACATTTGATGATAGGGAAGCTGTGTTGGCCCTGGATAGAATCATTGGAAGCATATATTTTGGTGTGTAGCATCCACCAGCTAAACCATATGAGATTGGTGCTCTTTAAAGCACATGTGCGAATGTGTGTAATCTGACTGTTTTACACAATTCAGATATTTTCACCGTGGAAGATATCCCGTATTCGACAATACAGCACTTCCATTGGGAATATGCATATACGAATTTATATTCGAATATACAATACCAATCTTATCATTTTTTTCACATGTATTATTTCTAATAAGATACATAATGTGGTTATAATAAAATATTAATTTTAAGTAATTCAAAGTATGTTAAAATATGAAAATAATCACACAAGGGAAGTGGCACGCCACTGGTTTCACCAAATAATAATAGTTTCTTGATTTTTTAAAGCATTTTTTCCTTTATTCAATGGACTTCACAAATATCCAGATTCACACATGCATGGTCATAACTGCATAAAACTTCAATGTTTATAACTTCTGATAAGTGCATTCTTTGAAAAAATGTTTTAGATAATAATTTTGGTAATTTGCAGTTTTTAAGGTCTCTGTTACAATCTGAAATTGAAGCTCCTGCTTTATTATAACAATTACATTTGCAAGAACCTGTATCTACTAGGAACTATACTAGATTTAAAATTCCTTTGTATAAATCTAATATTGCTCAGAATATATCAGTTCATAAACTGGCAACACTTTATAATCACTTTGGATGGCAACTAGATTTGTTTAGTTCTAAGCAACAGTTTTGATAGTCACTGGTCAAGGTATTTGATATTGAACATTATAATTAATGTGGAAATTGTTCTTATATATTCAATATATTTTAAATTTTTCAATTCTTATGTTTTGTTGTGTATTAAACTCAATTCAAATGTTTTGTATGTAAGTATTTAATTGTTATGTTTTGTTTCATTTCAATTTTTATGTA